CTTTTAAACATGTTTAATTGTCCCATGATAATGAGCTACACTTTAAAAACAATTCAAGCTGCAATCCATCCTACTACATGGTAGAGAAATACAAGCCAGAGAATAACTCAGAGAACCACAGGGAACCCCACACTGATCCTTTATTCCTAACCCCACACTGATCCTTTATTCCTGGTAACTACAGATGGGCCAGAAGTTGAAAACTCACCTGAAAAGCACCAACAGAGCCAGGTGTAGTGGTACATGCCTTTAGTATCAGCAATGGGGGGAAACAGAGACAGATGGATCTATGAGTTCAAGGCTAACCAGGGCTACATAGTGAGACCCTGTCTCAAAAAAAAACAAAAAAAGAAAACAGAAACCAAAAGCAAAAACAAATACCAACAGGATCAGAATTAATGTATAGAATAAAAGTAATAAAATAGTAATACTTTTCGTTTCAGAGTTATTTAGAATCTTAATTTTGTTTTATCTTTTACTGGCTTTTAAAAATATTTGTTTGTAAAATGAAATACTTCCTTCCAGATTTACAAATGTACAATACAATGTGTGCAGTCACCATTTAGTTACACCAGTATGTTTTTACTAAATGCAGTTTATAAAGTTAATCAACAATAACCACTAAATGGGAAAAAAAATCTATTTTCTTAATCAGCACTGAGGTTCTATTTGCTTAAGTGAAGAATATGAATAACAAAAGACCCAATTTGTAGCCTAAAAAAGTAAATATTCTAATGATTTTAAAATATACATCATTATCAATTTCTTGACTTGGATTTAAAGACCCTGTGAACAATCGGACACAAACCAAACACCTAACTATAATTAAGAAATCTAAATAAAATGTCATACCACAAAGCATGTGTTTTATATTCAAACAAGTTCAACATCATATTACAGGACTGAGAAGTGATCTTGAAACACCTCCCCTTCCCCGTTTATTCAAAGGGTCTGTTTCTTTATGGAAATTATCTCTATTTTTGATAAAGAAATTTTACTACACAATTGATATGTCTCTACAAGACTCTACTTGAAGCTCTTCTGATTGCAATTTTTAAGACAACAGATTTTATGCAGTAAAAACACACAACATGTACCAAAGGTCAAGAATAAATCATCCCTCTTAAAGCACTTCACAGAAAGTTTAAGAAAATACTACTACATACTCAAGTTTTAGGACACATTCTCAGAAATTTCACATGAGAAATTCAAGAAAGAAACACCTGCTTTCATTAGTTATGAGGACTGATTTTTTTTTTTTTTTTTTTTTTTTTTTTTTTTTTTTTGTCTTTTTGAAGCAGGGTCTCCCTGTAGCCCCAGCTGTCCTAAACTCGCTATGTAGACCAGGCTGGCCTTGAACTCACAGAGATCCTCCTGCCTCTGCCTCCCAAGTGCTGGGACTACAGGTGTGCGCCACCAAGCCCGGCTCTCCTCCGGTATTTTAATTAAAATTGTACACTTCTGGCCATAAAAACCTGGTTTTAGGTGTTTTAAAAGTTTGAACAGCTATTACACTATACTTTGCTTTGGCACTAGCTCCCCCTCCAGACCAACCTAAAATAACTGCATTTTAAAAAAACAAACGAAACCAATTTTTGCGACCCACTAGCAAATTTCAAAATTCACCACTTTTAAGGCCATTCCTACTCCTTAAAAAAAAATAACTGATTGGAAAAAAAAAAAAAAAAAACACTGCAGAATAAAAGCAGAATGACAGTCCTTCTCAGTTTTGTACATCTTAAATAGAACTGATTTGTAGGAAAACAACTTCAAATGTTTTTTAATTCAAGAACATCCTTAGAATAATCTGCACAGTGCCATATTTAAATGATTTTGAACCACTCTCCTAGTACACCATGAGACATCCTTCTTACTAACTCGCTATCTGATCAAAGTCACATTTCTGCAATCTATGCAAGTTTCATTCCAGCTGTTCAGCTCTTCAACTCAAACAGAATTCTCAATTTATAGAGCAGCAAGAGGAAAAATCCATGACTCAAAACCACCCTTGCACATTCTTATAGCTTATTCATTTCTCATTCCCTACCTTTTTACTCAGGCTATAAAAGCACAATTTCAAATGCTTGGATTTGCTGAAATACTGTAGTATTTGTAACTAAGACTTCTTACACACACTTTATACTTCACAAGGATAGTAAGGACCTTACACTTTGGCATGCAGTTTTAGGTTGTCTTAAAAGAGAAACAACTTACTCTATCATTTCAGTATATAATTTCTCTCCTAAAATAATTTATGATACACCCTTTGAAAGAGGTATGTATAAAGCACAGAACATTAATCAAGAAAACAAATATGCACTTAACCTCAGAAGAGCAAGAAAAAAATAAAACCTACTTTCTACAGCACAAAGTCAGTTAAGTCAGCTAGTCCTACTTGTTTTAAATTTTAACTTTAAACTGATATAAATCTTGTATTGCAGTTGTTTCCTGAAACCTTGAAGTTCGGAGTTATCTAGGGATGGGTTTTGTTTCCCTGGGTTCACCTTCTTCAGGTTGCTTTTAAGTGACATGTGAAATCAGACAGGAGGAGGAAAAACACCACTCTCCTTGCCTTTATCCAAGGCCTCAATCTTTAAGGCAAAACGCAGAAAGCTCACAGGGTGATAAGCGCTACCCATGACAATGCCATTTAACTTAAGAAACACTGTGCCCCTGAAGACTGCAATCCCCACATGCACAGAACAGGTGCTGCACCCGACAACCGCCTCAACTCTAGCAGGACACACCTCGCGGACAGAATACACAGGACTCATTTAACCTTCCCAAATAGTTGAGACAATGGAAAGCCGCCAGTTTGTCATCTGCAGATCGAAGAGGGATGCCAAGGCACTTAGGCCATTAACTGCCCTGCGAGGGGGCCCGATCTTTGTGAGGATTTCCTCCAGTCCCAAAAGCCCTCACAGAAGCCCCAGCAAAGCACAGGAACCCACCTTCCTACGGTCTAGGAGCCCAGGGACACCGCAGCTGAAGAAGGGAAAGGTAGGTGCAGAGATGAGCGCTGAGGGGCACCTCCCACCCCGCCCCCATCCTGACTGTCCCTGGCTATCCCTGGCTCTCTCTGGCTCTCCCAGGGTGTCCCTGTCTATCCCTGGCTATCTCTAGCAATCCTTGTCTATCCTTGAATCTCTTCGGCTGTCACTGGCTCTCCCAGGCTGTCCCAGACTCTCTCTGGCTATCCCTGGCTCTCTCTGGCTATCCCAGGCTCTCTGGCTATCGTCCCTGGCTGTTCCTGGCTCTTTCCGGCTGTCCCCGCTATCCCAGGCTGTCTCTGGCTATCCCTGGCTGTTCCTGACTCTCTCCGGCTGTCCCTGCTATGCCAGGCTGTCTCTGGCTATCTCTGGCTATCCCAGGCTGTCTGTGGCTTTCCCTGGCTCTCTGGCTATCCCTCGCTCTCTCTTGCTCTCCCTGCTCTCTCTCTCTCTCTCTCTCTCTCTGGCTATCCCCGCTCTCCTTGACTCCGGCCCCTGCCCTGAGCAAGGATGCGCGACGCCGCGGACAGCGACGCGTCCAGTTCTCGCGGCGGGCGCCCCGCACCCCCTGCCCCCGCCGAGGCACAGTCCTGGGGCTCCCTCCCCACTTTTCCCGGAGCCGCTGGATGAGCAGCCGCAGCCTGGGCAGCAACAGGCCTGGGATCACCCGAGAAAACAGGAGCGCCAGCGACGGAGCGCCGCAGTCCCGCGCTCGCCTGTCCAGGAGCCCGCGGCGCGCGGGGCCCGGCTCCCTAACGCCCCCTTACCCGAGGCGGGAGCGAGACGGTCCGCGCCGTCCCCCGTCGCCACCGCCGCTGCCTCACCGCAGCTGCCCCGCGCCGGGCGAGTGGGAGGGGTGGCTGAGTGGAGGATGCTACTCCCGGCTGAAGGGAGAGGAAGAAACGGAAACAGGAACCGCGGCCGCCGCTTAACGGAGCCTTCGGCGCCACTGACTGAGGGAAAGCGCAAGGCGGCGCGAGCCGGGCAGCGGCTGACAGCGCGAGACCGAGCGCGAGCCGGGTCCAGGGCGCGCGACCCCGAGCAGCGCCGGCCCCATTCCGCGTGGAAAGGGAGGGAACCGGTTGGCTGGGAGCTGGGAGGGGGCGGCGGGGACCTGCAGCCGAGGAAACCCGGCCACTCGAGTCGGCCGGAGACCACGCGCGCACGCGCCGGAGTGGCTCCGACCACGAGCGCAGGCGGGGAAGCCTGGAGCCGGCGCGAGCGTGCACGCGCGGGTGGGGGTGCGCGCCCCTCGGCGTCCCAGCCTTCTGGCGCGCATGCGCCGACCGCCGCCTCCTTCGGCGACCCTGGCATGTGCGGAGGCTCCTCCCCGTCCCCTTCCCCGATGCGGGTGGACAGCGGAGCAGCAGCATCCACGGCCACGCTGAGCCGCGGGCCACAGCAAAACGGCAGAGTTCCCGCCCGCCGGCGGCGGCGGCGTTCCGGCAGGCGAGGGCCGCCCGAGGCTGAGGAGAATGTCGCTCCCCTCGCCTCAGGGGCGCCCGGGGACCACTGCGCTGGGGGCTCAGGCCGGCTGGCTGCTGTTTTGAGGGGTGCTCGCTGCTGCTGAGCCCCTGAAGCCGAGTCTGGTCGCTCGACTGCAGCCTGATCACACAATGGCATCGCCGCTCCGTGCAGGCCAGTCACCCTGCGAGCGCCAAGAGAAAAGCCCCCAACAAGGGCCTGAGTTGCCTGGCCGGCCTCCCTCGGCCGGCGGCTGCCACAGCCCGACTGAGGCGGAAGTTTATTGAGTGCGGGGAGGAAAGGAGAGGCTCTTCCCTAGGATGCTTCCTACCCGCTCGGACTCGGGGGACTCCTGGCGCCCGCGATGCAGACCGTGGGCCGAAGCTACCTCAGTCCGGCCCAGACCGCGAGCTGAGCGGGAGGACCCAGGCGCGCCGCCCCGCCACACAAAGTAGTCGCGGGCCGAGGGGTGCCGCCGCGGCCAATCAGGGCCTGGAGCCTCGTGAGTGGAGTGCGAGCTGGCCAATCAGAGGGCCGGAAGATGAGCTTCCCGTACCGAACTCTTCCCTGTAGCCTAGGGACCGAGATCCCTGGCCTGGGGGCGCAGCTGGATGGAAAGACGGAATGCTGTCCTGAAGACCGTCATTCCTCCCAGCCCAGGTATTTTCCAGAAAATACCGTGAATACTTATTCCAGAGTAAATAGAGCCAGCCTTTCAAATGCTGAGTATCAAAAGGCTCACGGAAAAGGGGAATTAAAGAGGCAGCAGCCTGCCAAGAATGCAATCTGCCTAACAGCATTCGTAAATTCACAATATTTATTCTATTCCAGGGACACTGCTTTCAAAAAAATAAACTCCTGAGCCATTCAGCAGTTAAGAGCACTGGCTACTCTTGCAGAGGTTCTTTTCCCAGCACTCACGTGGGGGCTAACAATCATCCATAACTACAGCTCCAGGAAAATCCAACGCCCTCTTCTGACCTTGCAGGGCTCCAGTGCACTTAAATGCAGGCAATACACCCATACACATAAAATTAAAATATTAAGATATAAGAAAGCCCCCTGTCCTTAACAGCTCAGTGTCTGAAACTTTCAATAAAAAGCACCCCGTGATGTACCTTACAGTCATTAGTTACTCCCATGTAAGAAGAACAAATTAAGAAGATACAGTGACTTATCCAAGGTCTTACAAAAACTACAGACAAATCCAGAAGTATATTCTAGCCCGGAGAGTTTGGGTGTCATCACTCAAATCATTCCCTAATCTTTTATTAAATGTATGGATGCTAGCCATCTCCCATGAGACTTCCAGTTCAGGTGTGTGAGTCACATATTTTGATTGTTGTAGATAAACAAAAATTTTAGGCTTATATCCTAGTTAGATGAATTAAAGGCTAAAGCTTCATCAGTCAAAATAATACTTTTAAGAAAAAGAGCCATTTCTGGTTAACACATTATAGTTTATGTCATGTACTACTTCAAGATGTCTGTCTTCAACACTTTACATTTGCTTCAAAATATCTGGTCTTTTTAATCTGGCCTTTAATTACACTTCAAAAAAAAAAAAACCTAGAACTCAAAACACTTATCTTCCCCACCTTCTTCCCACCCCCCTCCAAGAAAAGAGACACAAAATAGGAATATTTGTCAAGGATTTAGTACATTTTTATAAGACAGCATAATATATGTTAAAATACTAAATTGATGCTGTAGAATACAGTCAAAAACTAGTTATTCAGCATTTCTGATCTCTACTTAGTGTGGCAGGTCACCGTTACCAGAGCCCTTTCTAGGATATGCCCAGGATTTATCCACCATCCCAGAACTGGAAGAATCAGCTAAACAACTGATATTTGAGAACAAATCTGTATGCGTTAGTTCCAAACCAATAATGAATTTCCTGACAATACATTTAACAGGAGTGCTTATCCAGCCTCTAAATACAAACAACAGTCCCAGCTTTTAAAAACTACAATCCTAAACCAAATGTGATGGCACATGCCTCTAATCCCAGCACTGAGAAGGGAAGTCTGAGGCAGGAGGATTACTGTGAGTTCTAGGCCAACCTGGACTATATAGTGAGTTCAGTGCCTGCCTTGGATACATAGCAAAATCCTTCTCAAGATTGACTGATTGATTGGTTGGGTGACTGACTGACCGACAGACCGACCGACCGAAAAATACAAACTAGAATCCTTGGACAGAGGGGTGTAGCTCAGCGTACTTGTCTAACATACTATGAACCTAGATTCAACTCCCAACATCACAGAGAAAATCTATATTACTGTATTTCTTCTATTCTCTCCAAAGAGAGTCCTGAAACTCAGTCTTGGTCTTGCCATGTTAAGTCTCTGAGAGAAAGAAAGCATCCCTACAAAGTTCTAAACGTCACTCAAAGAAAGCATCCCCATGAGGCTATTTTCTCCATACCCTCCAGCCTCCCACTCTGTGGCTGGGACCCCCCCCCACTCTCTCTTTTCTCACTCCAGATGCTCACTTCTGATTCTCATCATCCCCAGTTTCCAAAATTTGCATAAGCAAGAAACTGTGTACCACTTTGTTCACCACTGCTCCCTTGCCTGACAGGCTTTGAGCCTATCATTGCTTATGCTTAAAATCACAGACAAGTTCTGCACACACGCACACAAATTGTTCAGATCATTTTCCACAACCTCATGTACTAAGAACTAACAGAGCCCTGTCAGCTCCTTACTTTCTTCTGTGGTTCAGCCTAGGCCAATTCTTAGTCATCAGCTAGAGCTGTGGAGACTCGGATGTGAGGTGGGAAAGAGTCAACTCTTAGATAATGGAAAATATCAAAATGAGAGTGGCCATTTCATTGAGAGATTAGCTAGATCAAAGTTAATGAACTTGAATGCTATCACATTTCCTAAGTTGTGAACATTCATGTAGAAACTACTTTGAAATTTACTACCATTTTATTATGCCTATAATAAAAATAATAGAGAAGGTGTAACATTGCTGAGAACAAGGCCCCACGCTTAACTCTTCCATCATTTAATTCTCAAATCAAACCTTTGAGGTGGATCCTATGACAATAGTGGGGAAATCAGTTGGGTCTCAAGAGTACTTGAAGCTCTCAGGAGACTTAGCAACAGATGCTTAGCCAGTAATTTAGAAACTTTTCCATTTCTATCAGTATATACGACATGAATGTCAGCTCCAGAAACACTCTTAATAGCTTTTAATTATCTTTGTTTTATAATCGTTCCTGTACTATACTTTATAGTATTCTGTTTTATAGTAAACCATACAAAAATACTGTTACTACCACAGACAAGAAGATACAATCTTGAAGTAATTGTTACCCATTTGGGCCTCTGTTTTCTCATCTGTAAAGTAAGTGTGGTACTAGGTAAGTTGTAGTTATTTGCTAGTTCTAAAACTCTAAGTTTAGTCAACTTGATGTTCCATCAACAGTAACTAGAGAAATGAAATGTGAAAAAATGATGTGTATCTTCAAAAACAGTAAGTGGCATAAGTCACTTTTGAGCTAAGTCCTAAAATAGAAATTCTGTACCCAGTCATTAAAAAGCTAAAGCTAGGGCTGGAGAGATGGCTCAATAGTTAAGAACACTGACTGTTCTTGCAGAAGACCAGGGTTCAAATCCCAGCACCAGATGATGGCTAACAGCCATCCATAATTCCAGTTCTAGGGAATCTGACACCCTCCTCTGTCCTCCTCAGGCATTACACAACACAGTACATGTAGGCATAACACTAATACACGTAAAATAATAAAAATAAACTAAAACAATAAAAAGAGCTGATCTTTCCCATTGGAAGAACAACAAAGTGACTAAAGGTTGATGAAACAAGGCACTTTTTTTTTCCTTGTGACTTTCTTCTTCATTGGTGGCATATACTTCACACTGTTTGTTTATTCACTACCCACTCCTGCATCTCCCTTATTAATAGAATTTCTTGATTTTTTTTTCATTTGTTTGTGTTTTAGGTAACCACTACAGAAGGGCAACTCAAGTTAACCAGTAAGTGGATTCCCAGAATTCTAGAGATTTTCCTTCTAGACTTAACAAAGGTTACACTTACCTTCACCATCCCTTTTGCAATTGGGTTGGTCTGTGCACGTGATGCCACTAATCTTAGAGGGTTGTGAGTAGGAGTTGTGTATGTCAGCATTAGTCCTTACTCTTAGCCTCGCGATCAGCATTGATGTTTTTTTTAATTATTGTTAGGTTTAATTCATTTGTGCATGTTGAGCGTGCATGCACACACACGCACACACGCACAGGTCACAGCAGCACTCATGTAGCAGTCTGAACACAAGAGTCAGGGTGTCAGACTGGGTAACAAATGTCTTTACCATTGAGCCCTCTCACTGGACTGGTGTTTGTTTACCTTGCAAGTACTTAGGATCAAATCCAGTGGCCTCCAGCATGCTAATACACTCCCACTCCTTTTTATTTATTTTTTGAAACAAGGTTTTGTTAAGTTGCCAAGTAGCTAGGAGGTATGCATCACCACACCCACTGAGACTAGTATTGTTAAAGTTGATGAAGCCTCTCAGCCCAGGTTCCTAAACAAGGACCCTATGCAGTGACCTGCCTCCCTCCTTCATGTATTTTGAGCAAGTGATACAGCTTTGATGTTTAAGTCACTGAGATTTGGCTGTCTTTTTTGCTGCAGTATGACCTAGAATCTAAGTTATGTTAGGTTGATTTGTACTAGAATACTAATGGTCTGAAAGTATTCTAATTAATATACTTAAAATCATTAGTCCTGGGATAAAATAGCCCCATCAGACCAAAAGGGAGAATTTTCAGTCCCTGCTTGGGATTCTCTCCTTCCCCCTAGGTATAAGGCAGCCTGCAACCCAGAGTGTGGTAACAGTAGTGTTGCAAAAGAAACTAGCCATTGAACGAACACACTGAAGATAGCAGTGATATAGAAAAACTTAAAAATATGATGGAGCTGATGATCATACTGCCTGGGAAGGCTCTTCTTCCTGGACTTCTGCAAAAGAATAGTGGTATTTGTTCCTCTATAACTCTGTAGGAAGAAACTTCATTTTGTCTATGTTAAATTTTATTGCAGTTTTTTAATGCAGATCTAGCTCAAGAAGCTCTCTAAAATAGAGGATGCATTCACATTTTTTAAATATAATTGCTCCCACTACTGTCTTCTGAAATACTACCTCCATTGGTAAGGGGGAGAAAGTAATTTTATTCAATCCAGTCTTTTTAGAATGAAGAGATTAAGATCCAACAACATTACAAAGTTTATCAAGTTTATATAGCTTTGTTATGGCAGAGTGAGGATTTTTTTAAAAAACTAATAATTGCTTCATTAAAAATATTGGTCTTAGGACTGGAGCAATGGCACAGTGGTTAAGAGCACTTACTGCTCTTCCAGAGGACCCTGGTTCAGTTCCCAGCACCCACATCAGGCAGGTCACAACCACCTCTAAGTCCAGTACAGAGAATCTAATGCCTTTTGGTCTCCAAAGGCACCTGCACACATGTGGTACACATAAACTCACACACACACACACACACACACACACACACACACACACACACAAATCTTTTTTTTAAGAAATTGGTCTGGTGGACAGAATAGATAGCTCAGCAGTCAAGAGCACTGGCTGCTCTTGAGGCATACCTGGGATCAGTTCCCAGCACCCACATGGCAGCTAACAGCTGTCCCTAACTCCAATTCCAGCAGATCTGATGCCTCATCTGGCCACTACAAACATTACACAACACAGGTTCACTTACATACATGCAGACAAAACACTCATACACATAAAATAAAAATAAATAAATAAATAAATAAACTGGTCTAGAGTATAATTCAGAGTGTTTCCTAGCATGTGCAAGGCCCTGGGATCAATCCCCAGCAGCACTAAGGAGGCTTAGGCAAGAACATTGGGAGTTCAAGGCCAACCTGGTCTACATAGTGAGTTCGAGGCAAGTTTGGGCTCTACAGAGAAACCTCTCACACATGCACACACACAAAAAAAGAAACAAAGGAAAAAATATCATTTCCAACTGAAGATAGAAGTAATATACAGGTAGTACGTTATTCTGATAGTTTAAAAGTTTCGGGCTAAAGAGATGGCTCCATTGGTAAACTGCTTGCAACGCAAGCATGAGAACCTGAATTCAAATCCCAGCACTCACATTTAAGAAAGAGAAAACCAAGCATGGCCAAACATACCTGTGCCCCAGCATTGAAAGGTGAGACAGTCGGATGGCAGAAGCTCGGTGGCCAGCCAGCCAGCCTAGCACAATGAGCTTCAGGTTCAGTACAAGACCCTGTCTCAAGGGAGTAAGGCAGAGAATGATAGAGGAAGACATTCAACATCCTCCTCTGGCCTCCACATGCACATGCATGAGCACACTCATGCACACACATACACATGCACACACCACACCACCACATACACAAACACGAAAAATAATAATTTTCCTAATTACATATATGGTCTTGGATAGATAGACTACTTAACCTCCAAGTTCAGGCTCTTCTATCTGTAAAAGGAGATAATAATCACTCATAGAGTTATAAAGGAGTGGATGACTCACTGAGTTAAAAAGCACTAATATAATGCTTGACACATAGTAAACACACACAGTGTAGTTCTGTTAAACTATGTTTATTCACAACTAATTTTACATGCATCATTTACTGTTCATTTAATTCAGACCACCATCCTATATTTTCCCACCATATAATGGTGGACACCTGAATTGTGTGTGACAAGTGACCAGCACTTATGGGAGCTGTTTTTTCCATTCCCATGTTTCTATCATGATGGTAACAGCAAGAATCTCTGAGTTACTGCTGACTGTCCCTTGTTCATACTTAGCTGGGCAAGAGGTGACCACACCTGCCCATAGAGAACCAAGCAAACCATCCCTGCAGGAGTTTTGAACTTAAGAAGCAAGGTCATCTCAGGCTTAACCTAGATGTAAAATCTAAGAGATGTTACTGGATATAGGTTTTTTGGCCAAGTGAAGAAAACTGTTCTGCATTGAGAGAACAAAGTTCAGTGAAAAGAGGAAAGCAGAGAAAATTAATTTGGGGTGGTTTTTTTTTTGTTTGTTTGTTTTTTAATGCTAGAATCCTCATTTCCAGGTTTTCTTGACCAGTAACTGAATTTCTGTCTTTCCTTCTGTACAGATTTGTCTCTACCTGGGGTTTCTCTATAACCTCCCAATATATTCCCCATTTTACCTAAGATGTTTCTGCATAGGTTTATTTTAGATACAACAAATGCAATTATACTACCATAAAGTAAAATAAAATAAAAAAAGAGAAGACACTTAAATTCATTGTGTTCATTAATGGCCTGCATTCAGTGAATTTTTTTTTTTTTTTTTTTTTTTTTTGGTCTTTTTGAGACAGGGTCTCCCTGTAGCTCCAGCCAGCCTGGAACTCTCAGAGATCTGCCTGCCTCTGCCTCCAGAGTGCTAGGATCAAAGGTGTGCGCCACCACACCCGACTTTCATCAGTGAATTTTTAAATCAAATGCCAAACACAAGTAAGAGGTTTCAAATCATCTCCCATTTCTATTATTGCACGCTTCTGCATTTCAAGCCCCCATTTCTAAATGGTCCTATTAAAACTCAACTAAAAGCTTGTATTTCTCAGTCTGCCTTGCAGCAAATGTGGCCATACAGTCAAATTCTGACTATTAAAATCTAGCCAGATATGTTTATGTTTTTTAAATTCCTTAAAAGGAAAGGGCTATGCCCTTCTGTCCCTTTTCTCAGTACTATTAATTGGGTCAAGATAGGATGTCTGGAGTCCTTTCAGTCACCTGGGACCTAAAGGGAGAGAGTGATGCCTAGAGATAACGTCAGTGGAGAAGCGCTGAGTCCCTGATAGCTTTGTGATGTCTCCAAGCCAATCCTGGACTGCTCACCCCAAAATTATTTTATGTGAAACAAAAATAAACTGCTACTTTCTTTAAGCCCCTATAATCTAGGTATTTTCTGTTACACCACACTGAACCTAATCCTGACACAATTGAGGCAGTGTCATTGTAACTTAATTAATTGTATTAAGTTGGATACTTGATATGCTACAAAAAAGAAAATAAGTCAAAAAAAATCTTGGAAGAAATGTAACAGAAATGAGTGTATTTTACTATGTTTAAAAATGAAAAACCAGGGGCTGGAGAGATGGTTCAGGGGTAAAAAGCACTGACTGCTCTTGCAGAGAACCCAGGTTCGGTTCCAGCATCCACACAGTGGCTAACAACCATCGATATCAAGGGATCTGACACTTCTTCTGACCTCTGTGGGCATTGCATGACATGGGTGTACTTACACACCTGCAGGCAATACACTCATAGACATAAAATAAAAATAATAAATAAGGGGCTGGAGAGATGGCTCAGCGGTTAAGAACACCAACTGTTCTTGCAGAAGACCCGGGTTTGAATCCTAGCACCCACCTAGCAGCTAACAACTGTCTGTAACTCCAGTTCCAGGGGCTCCTACAGCCTCTTCTGTCCTCCGTGGGCATTGCACAACACAGGTGCACTCACCTACATGCAGGCAATACATGCATACACATAAAATAATAAATAAAAAATATTTTAAAAAATAATAAAATATTTTCTAAAAATGAAAAGCAGGGCTAGAGAGATGGCTCAGCACTTAAGAACACTGGTTGTTCTTGCAGAAGACCCAGGTTCAAATCCCAGCACCCACATGGCAGCTAACAACTGTCTGTCACTCCAGTCCCAGGGGATCTGACAGCCTCTTCTGACCTCCGCAGGCATTGCACGACATGGGTGCACTTACCTACATGCAGGCAATACACACATACACGTAAAATAAAAATAAAATTTAAAAAAATAAAAGCCAAAAATAAGGATATGGACTGGGGAAGGATGGAGCAGGTATAAGATCATAGTGAAAAATTCCAGGCAAAAACTTGCCTCTGTCAATGTGCTGCAAATGCCTGCTCCAGCAAGAATGAACCTTGCCCAAGTCACCAAAGCCCCAGAACTGTGCTTTAACTCTTACAGGTTCACCAGCAAGAGGCAAGCAGGCCAGATAGGAAAAGGAAATGGCATACAGGAGTGAATCAGGACAAAGTATAATGATATACCTATATGAAAGTGACATAATGAAACCCATCACTATGCGTGTAGCTTAAATTTTTAATTCTTGAAAAATGCATGAATCTCCATTTGAATGCAAAATAGATTAAGTTCATCTAAGGGAACATTAGATTCTGAGGAAAAAGATAATTCTAACCAAACTGACAGAAGTCTGTAAAGCCAGAGGGCCCTCTTCAAGACAGAGACACTGCTGCACTGCTGCCTATCTTGTTCAGTCCAATGAAGCATATTTATTGAATGAGTTAACTTACATTGCATTATAGCCTACAGCAGGAACAACACATATAACCTCTGATTAGTCAGGATCTTGTATGGTTTCCATGGGAACAAGTCCATATACTGTTAGGTTTCAGAGTGTATATTGTGACTATTTGAATCATAACTTCATCATTTATTATCTGTGATAATTTAGAAAAGTTTTTAGGGGGTAGAGAGATGGCTCAGTGGTTAAGAGCACTGACTGCTCTTGCAGAGGACCTGGGTTCGATTCCCAGCACACACATGGCAGCTGCGAACCATCCTTAACTCCAGTTCCAGGGGAATCCGAAGCCCTCTTCTGACCCCTGTGGCATTGTACAACACAGGTGCACTCACATACATGCAGGCATCACACTCATACACATAAAATAAATTTTTTTAAAGAGAAGTTTTTAAATCTGTCTTGTGTCTATCTCTTTAAAATGGATATCTCAATACTATTTACCTCATAGAGTTTTTGTGACTCTAAAAAGAGTTATTACATACAAGGCTCTTAAGCACAGAGCTTGACGCAAAAGAAAACACAATAAATGTTGGCCATTTATAGCTCCACAAAACTCTAAGCTAAGGCAAGCCTTTGTGGACATTGTTATCTGATCTAAATTCCAAAGTCAAGATAACATAAAAACATAATCTAAAAAAAAATGAAAGAAATAAGTGATTGACAAGATTTTCTGAACCAAAGGCTAAATGCCCTTTCAGTTGTGGAGTAATGTTAAAACACAGTTGTTGGTATTTAAAACGAGGAGTAAAGGTTCCCAAAACAACTCCCTGTAAATTGTGCTGGCATGATTTACAAGTAGACTTGTAAACCCACACAGATATAGGTCAAATGGAGCTCACTTTTATTTATTTCAAGGCCGGTCATTTAGTACCTCCTCAGGTGGGAATGGAGCTCAGTGGTAGAACACACACTTAGCATGCACAAATCCCTGGGTTCAATTCCAAGCACAAAAAATGTTATAAAATATAATACACTTCATCTTTTGTCTCTTACATTCATGTTAAGTGTCTGAAAAGAACATAAAATTTACTTGAGCTCTTTAAAGTGCGAGGAACCAAGAATTACTCATTTTACTGCTAAGAGGTGGTGGTGAATGACTCTTAAAAATACAATAATGTGGGGCTGGAGAGATGGCTCAGCCATTAAGAGCACTGATGTTCTTGCAGAAGACCGGAGTTCAAATCCTAGCACTCACATGGCAGCTAACAACCATCCATAACTCCAGTTCCAGGGGATCCAATGCCCCTCTTCTGGCCTCTGTGGGCATTGCACAACATGGGTGTACTTACCTACATGCAGGCATAACACTCATTCATATAAAATAAAAATAAAATTTTAAAATGACAATAATGTGAGACTGGAGAGAAAACTCAGTGGTTAAGAGCACTTGCTGATCTTCCAGAGGACCTATATCAGGTAGCTTACCATCACCTGTAACTCCAGCTCCAGGGAGTCTAACACCCTCCACAGACGCCCACACATGGGCACACACACAAACACCTAAATAAAAATTTTAAAACATGAAAATACAATAATGAAAACACTTCCTTGGAACTAAAATACCATCAGGTACTGGAGCAATAGGGGACTTTCCCTTCTCAGTATCTGGTTTTCTCTGTGTAATTTACATTTTTCTTCTCCCCTCTGTATCAGTTCACTCCCATTCTTTTTGTTTGCTGGGCTGTTTATTTTTTGTTTTGTTGAGACAGGGTTTTACTATGTAGCCCACGCTAGCCTGGAGCTCATGATCTTTCTACCTCAACCACTCAACTGGTAGGTTTACAGATGTGTACTGTGAAATCTAGCTCGTTTACATTCTTTTTGTCTTTCTGTGTGTGTGTGTGTGTGTGTGTGTGTGTGTGTGTGTGTGTGTGTTGCATATATGTGTTTATGTGCACATGTGTATGCCTTCCTCAATCATTTATTCTACCCCTTGTGACAGGTTCTCACTGAACTTGAAGCTCAACAATTCAACCCAACTTCCTGGCCAGTGAGCCTGTCTCTGCATACCAACATTGGTATTACAGGCACCATCCACCATGCCCAGCTTTTTACAAGGGTGCTGGAGATCTGAATTCATGTCTTCAGGCTTACACAGCAAACACTTGGCCTATTGAGCCATCTCTGTAATCCCCCCATTTACATTCTTTATTCTGCCTTTTGGAATCTTTGTTCAAGATTTCAGATTTTTAATAATTTCATCTTCCTTATAGCAACAGACACTTGTTAACTAAAAAACTGTCAAAGTCCTTTGTTTCAAATTCTCCATAGAAGGAAATCTTTTGGGGGTTGCACATCTCTTTCTACTGAGCCACATTATAAGTCTTCTGCTCTTGAATCAGGTATGATTTCTGTCCAAACTACTTTAAGGAAGCACTGGTGAATGCCCATTCAGCAGGAGCTACGGGCATTGCACACCCTCAAGCACATTTCATTTACCAAAAAGCAAAATATTCTAACAAAGACTCATGGTCACAGGAATTCACCATTGAGTCCCCAGAGTCTTGAATAGTGCCTGGCCTATGGGAGATAATTATTGGCAGGCTATTGAATGAATACATGAATGAATGGAAAAAGTGGATTTATTACAACAGAGAAGATTTAAATAAATAAAAGAAATTTTTACATGTTAGGTCCTGAAAATGGTTTCCAAGGAATTTTGTTTTTGCTTTTTCAATATATATTTTATTGAATTTTTGTGCATTTCATACCATACATCTTAATCATATTTAAGCCCCCTCTCCTATCGTCACTCCCCCAAACCTCTCCCATTGCCACTCCCCCAAACCTCTCCCATTGGATTTATGCATTCTGTCATATATGTTAAGGCCT